CCAACCACCTGTCTTTCAGGGTTATAGACTGCTGAAAACAAGAGTATCTCACTTACCTGGCTTATCATTAAATGAGTCAAACATGTTGTTTTGATTCTTATTTTCAAAGTCCTCCATGATGACAAGATAACTAAAGACCCTTCTCTGTGCAATTGAGCCCTCCAGTGGTTTTTCGATTTTGACTAAAACAGCGGGGCTTTCAGCTTCAAGAGTGAACTGAATGCTCTATTAATTGACCAGATACCTGGAATCTGGTCACAGAAGAGATTAAGATGAAATTGAATTTTAGTGCCTTCCACGTAAATGCAAAATACACGTCTTGAGAGTAGATGCTAGATTCTGATACAGAGAGAGAATGATGATAATGCAAAACAAGTTAAAGTAATTTTACAACTGCAAAACCACTATGATGATTTAATAATCTGACCTTCTGTTTAACAGGTCACTGATTCCTGTCATGGAGGGAGCTTTCAGTTTCTCTCAACTTTTTTTCCCAGGAATCAGCGTACCATTTTATTTTGATCAAAATAAAATCTTTCTAGTTAGTACACAAGTGCAAAATGCAAATAGAAAACAATTTGGCATGAAGAATGCCTTTAATTGGCAGCAAGTCTATTAGTCACATCTGTGGCTCATAATTGAAAGTACCATTGCATATTAAGCAACAGTGATGCAGGATATCTCATGGTTCTTCATTGTTCTTTGGGGCTATTTCAGGTAGCAAAAGGATAACCTGTCCAGGTGTTCCTTGCCTGTCTATTGAGCAACATAGCAGCTATGATAGTAGTTTGTCATGTGAATACTATTTTACTCAAAATCAATCTGAGGCCACCAATTTGCTTCACATAAGCCAATAATCAGCCTGCGAATAGTAACTTTAGATTATTACAAGCTTGGTTGGAATCATCTCGTGACCTTAAGCTCTGAAAGTCTACCTTGTCGCATTGCCAGTTCCAGGAACCATCTGTTCTTCTTTTTTGTTAATGAATCTTAAATTGGGATGGTATTGTTGGTTTGTTTACATCCTTATGCAATAGCATCAGCTGTCAGTATTTCTTTTGGAAAAACATTAGTCAATTGGTGCTGCAGAGAGACTGCCAGATTACAAATATGATGTACATCATCCATTACTACTATAAAAAGTCAGTTGCTTTTAAAATTTTATTGACAGAATGCTGAGGGAATCCAAGACGATTCAAAGAATGCTTCTTAGAATTTTTTTTCTTTCTGAATTGTCTAGTGCACGAGTGGCCAACCTGCAGCATGAGTGCCACAAATGGCACAGGCAACCTAGCTGACTGGGGAGGGGATGCAGCAGCAGATGGGGCAGGGAGCAGAAAACAGAGCAGCAAATGAGGCAAGGGGCACAGGGCAGAAAGCAGAGCAGCCAATCAGGCAGGGGAAGGGAATGGGAGTGGTACACTGGGAGTATCCATGTCTAACTTGACATGCATGCCAAAAAGGTTGGCCTCCTTTTGAACTAGTTTTATATGTTGCTAGGAACCTAGAACATTTTTACACATGCTCCAGGGCTGTGGGAGGGGGCAGAAAACACTTTAATTACAGTGGCTCTGAGAACCGCTTTAATTAAAGCACCCTCGGCATCTCGTGTATTAGTGTCCCTGCACTTCAAAATGGCAGTAGGGGCACTTTAACAAATCTCATTTGACGAGCTTTAGTTAAGAGTGTCCCCGCTGCTGTTTTGAAGAGTGAGGGTGCTAACACATGAGATGGAGGCTGTGGAGCACAATAATTACCAGGCTCCAGCAGACTCGATTAATGGAGTCTGTTCCAATGTGCTGTAATTACAGTGCATCAGAATAGCCTCCCAGCTCATCTCAGCTCTTGACACACCCCTATTTCTTAAACTTGGAGCTGTTCTTCCTTTTAGCAACCTTGTAT